ATTGTCAAGGTAATGATGTAAGAGTACCTGGTGATGCAATTGAGTCAGGATTGTCAATGAAAGCTGCAGCAGAATTGGGATTATTGAAAGGTACACCAGTTGGAACGTCGCTGATTGATGCACATGTCGGTGGCCTTGGTATGATCGGATGTTACGCGTCGGATGTATCCCCGAATTTCTCTAATCGATTGGGTATGCAAGATACTGTCAATGATATACATTTTTACCAAAAAAAAAGAGAAAAAGATAAATTGCCTTGTCATTTTTAGCTTTAATTTGCGGCACTTCAACTTGTCACATGATAGTGAATGAGAATAAGATATTTGTAAATGGTGTTTGGGGACCGTATTACAGCGTGATGATACCCGGTTTCTGGCTTAACGAAGGAGGTCAGAGTGCCACCGGAAAACTACTCGATCATATCATCGATACGCATCCCGCCACGCCGGGAATTCTGAAGACTTTAGGTGGCAATAAGTGAGTTTATTGAGACAAAACTATTAACAAATGGTTACGAAAATAAATAAAATCATTCGTTTTAGACACATTCAACAATACTTGTCCGAATTGCTGCATGTTATGGCTGAACAGAAAAATCTACAGAACGTATCGTATTTGACGAAAGATATACATGTTTGGCCAGATTTCCATGGTAATCGTTCGCCTCTTGCTGATCCAACACTGAAAGGAATGGTATTAAAATACATGTTTCATTAAATTTTGAAAATAAATATAATTTTAGTTTATTATTTCTAACTATATTTTAGATATCCGGATTATCCTTATCCGTAGACCAAGAAAATTTAGCGCTGTTATATTTAGCAACGGTTCAAGCACTAACGGTACGTTACAAATTAAAAACAGCTTTAATTCATTAAAGATATTAATACAAAAGTTTTTATTTAAACCGTAGTCATCATTATTTTATTTAGTCTATACGAAAATATACAAATATCTTATTAAAAAATTAATATATTTGGAAAGTTATTAAAACAATCTTTTTTATTACTAAAATCATTTTATTTGTAATAAAATTTTAGTCTTTGAGTAAAAATATTGATTAATGCATAACATATATAATTTAACTAATTTTTTTCCAATAGACATAGACATACTTTTGTATTAATTTTCAGTATGGTACAAAACATATAATTGAAGTTTTATCGGTTGCTGGTCATAACATAGAGAGTATATTAGTTTGTGGTGGACTCAGTCAGAATCCGCTGTTTATTCAAATACAAGCCGATGTGTTAGCATTACCGGTACTTTGTCCTGTGGAACGAGAATCGGTTCTGGTAGGTGCAGCAATCCTTGGAGCATGTGCCACGAAGAAATATTCTATGCAGGAGACTGTCCAGAGAATGGCGGGATCGGCGAATATAGTGAAACCAACAAGTGACTGTTACAAGTAAATATAAGATTAATGAGTATAAACG